GATGTCACTGACTTTTATACTTTCTTCTAGCTACTAGAAAGATTCTTGCTATGATGTGAATGCATAGTACAAAACATATAATCATATGACAGTGGGGAATATGGGGGTTCCAGGGTGCTACTTTGAAGTACAGCATGCCACACCCTCTGAAGCATATGACACTGGTCACCATCAGAAGACAGGGCACTGGGCTAAATGGACCATTGGTCTGACCGTATGGCCATTCTTATGTTCTTAAGCCCAAGGAAGGATTGCTTTGTGACTCGTGAACACAACTAGCAATAATAGTTATACTCAGATCCTGTGACTTGCATAATGATCTGATATTAAATTACAACAAAGCACATTGATAAGTGAATGGCAGTGATTAGCCAGGAGCTTTGGTGTCCACCACAGGAGACCGCTGTGTTTGGTTCAGTCTGCAACATCCCCTGAAGATCAGCTACTCTTTAATTCTGATTGGTGCACAATAGGGACACTGTGTTTGCATCAGTGACTGGCTTAGTGGAAGTGTGTGAAAATGTTATTAAAATGGGAAAATGCCTCTTCAAGTGGGTTTTGCTTTGCCACTTAACAGTCCCATATAAATGATGTACAAAGGATTTGGATGAGAGGACGCTATCAGAGATAATAAACTATTAATAGGAACTAGTCAAGTTTCACTCAGTGGGATTAAGTCTCAATCATCTCCCATTTAGGAGTATAGTATCAAGCCATCCTTATGATATGACAAGGTTTGTGTTTTCCCAATGAGGAGGAAGAGCGGATTTTCATTTAAAAATTTTCATTTGTGTCAACGATCCTTTTGTGGGTTTGCAGCTCTGCGGAGACCTCCAGGCTCATGCTCTAACAATACAGTTAGAGAAGCGGTGTAGAGATAGGATCATCATTGGAAACGGTGAGCACTGGGGGTTGCTGAAACAAGTCGCTCAGCACAGAGTGGGTTGGGGTGGCTGGAGGATGTTTTCTAAGAGGGTTGGAGAGAGGGGTGGCTCAATGTATTTTGCCGCCCCAAGCACGGCAGTGAGGCAGCCTTCAGCAGCATGCCTGGGGGTAGTCCGCTGGTAACGCAGATTTGGCGGCATGCCTGCGGGAGGTCTGCCGGTCCTGCGCCTTCAGCGTACCCGCCACCGAATTGCCACCGAAGCCGCAGGACCGGCAGACCTCCCGTAGGCATGTCACCGAAGGCAGCCTGACTGCTGCCCTCATGGCGACCGGCATGCCACCCCCTGCGGCTTGCCACCCCAGGCACGTGCTTGATGCGCTGGTGCCTGGAGCCGCCCCTGGGTGGAGACAGGTGTGGGTTCCACAGCTCACCATATATGGCTGGAGGCAGTGGTGTAATGGAAAGGGGCAGCTGTATATTTCCTCACTTTGAGGAGAGAAGATGCATCCTCTACAACTGCACTAGGTGCTATAAACAAAAATCACAGATAACAGAGGTAAATGACTTATTAGGGCCTCTATCCATCCATCCCTCTCTTCCCCAAGTTTGTCCCATTTAGTTTAAGTGCCCCCAGTGAGGGAGCTTCCAACCCTTCCCTTGGGAGTCTGTTGACAGTTCTCACCATTAGAGAGTTATTTTTCTTGATATCCAGCCTAAAATATCCTTTGTACAATTTCATCTCTTTATTATTAGAGCCCATCAACACTTCAAAAGCAGATGAATCAGGGGACGCCATTTAAAACTTAGTTAAAATGAGTAGTGTGAATGGGCCCTAAATGTGTTGCAACTGGGTCCCTTGATTCAGTTGTTTCACTAATGTAGAAGGGTTTTAGATATATATCCCTGTGCCATCCTACACAATCCCTCTCCTTCAAGTATTTGTAGACAGCCTAGTGCTACATACTGTAGCCAATCTGTGGTCACCAACTGTAGGAATTGAATGGTTATCCCTGTGCTGTGCAGCCTGGGCATTCAGAATTCCACAGCATCAGCAGGAATGGAAACCAGATCCCCCTGCCGGGAAAACAGACCCCTACCACCTGAGCTACAGGAGAATTGTCCTTAACTGCTAGTCCAGTAGGGCCTGTGACTAGAAAGGCTATTGTAACCAAGTTACCACCAATATTTGTTTGCATTTTTAAATGAATTTGCTGGAACTCCGTGTGATGGGATCTCCCCAGGTGCAGCCTGGGACTGTGCGACCACTATTCCCCCTGAACTCTCTCCAGCCTGGGCTGTCTCTCACAATGCCTTGCTAGTGACCAGCAGCAAACCCCTCCAGGTGCTGTCATCACTCAGCACATGTGGAGACCCAGCACCCAGCTAGATAGCATGAATACTCCCAGAACCACTCATGAACCACACAAGGAAAGGCACCAGCCAAATCCCCCCAGCTCTGTACCCTAGGAATATACCATCTTGCACTGCTCAAGATGAGCAATGCAGCTGTATTAATTGGTTCACCACTTAACCAATGGAAAGTGGATGTACACCTGCCTTTGTAAAACCTGAGCACTTTTGACACACACTTCATATGAACTCATTAGTAAAGATAAACAGTAAAAAATGTATCGACTACAAAAGATTTAATATCACTTAATCTGTGATAGGCAAAAAATCAGAGTTAGTTACCAATAGAAATAGAATATAAGCACCCAGTCTAAACTCTCAACCCTATTAGACTGGGCAACAACTAGACTAAGCAGTTTTTTTCACCCCACTGAATATTGCAGTTCAACACAGGTTTCACCCTTGAAATCTGGGCCAGTCCCCTCACTTGGAGTCTTCAGAGTGTCCTTGTTGCTTGCAGCACAGGTGGGTGAAGGAGAAAGGCCCAGCATGTGGCCACGGGGTCTGTTTCATAACCTCAGTCCTATGTGCTTGGGGAGCACAAGTCCAGGCAGGTCTGGGGGCATTGTGGAGTCTCCAGGCAAGGTTGAGCAATTCCCCTGATGTGGCCTCATGCAGGTAAGTCATTGAATTGTAGCTTCCCTGCTGGACAATGGTTGTTGATGGGTTGTTTAACACCCTGCCGGGGGCGGGGTGTTGGTTACTTTCCCTGCTGTTGCCATATCTGGCTGATTCCCCAACTTACAGCATGTTTTAGTGAAAACCATACAACACAATTCTCATAACTTCATATGCATTAATGATATACATATATGGATGGAGAAATGACTTTCAGAAGATCCTAACCTTTCCCCTGATACATATAAAGCATGCCTTGTAAGGCAAGATCACAATTATATAAAAATGAGGAATATGGGGGTTACAAGATGCTTCCCCAAAGTATAGTAGGTCACACTCTGTTTGCACTCCTGTTGGTTTGGCTCTCCACAAATATCCTAGGCATCACTCGGAAATGGTTGAGACACATCACTCACTTGATCTCAAAACTATCTGCATCCACACAAATGTGGTGTTCCCTTCTTTTACTGTTGAAAATGACTTAACATCAGAAACATAGATCCATGGAAGTGCAGTTGTAGAGAGAGGTGTTTACACTACAGGAATGATTCCCACAGCAGTGCATCTCCAGCAGAAATAACAGTGGTGTGTCCTTTTTTGTGTCTTTGTTAACTTTATATCCCTCCTCTGGGCATTGGTAGATAAGATTCAAGGGAATGAGTTCACTGGCAGGAATTTTAACTGTATATTGTGGAATAGTAACAGAAGGTGAATTTTGAATTTGTAAATGTATTTGCCCTGGAAACCTGATACTAAGAATTATATTCATCCAATCAGAGAAAACAAACATACCGCATCACCTATGGGGGCAATCAAAACAGCTGAAATGTTGGATACTCAATTTTCATAACAGACTGCTTGTAAATGGACTACAGACCAAGAACTTTTTGGCAAATTTAAAATACTTTTGAGAAAAAAAATTGTGCGTGTGCTATTTACAAACAGAAAAAAGGTGAAATTCACTAAGTAAATGATTTATTATAGTTGTGCCCAGCTGACATAGTTGTGCCAGTTGGATTTCACCCATTAGAGGGCAGTGGTGTACACACACACACCCCTCTGCCCCCACAACCATGAAAGCCTCCCTATGCTCCCACAAAAGCCATTGCCTTCAGTCACTTTTAATGTTTTTTCTAGATTCCCTTCAGTTTGTCAACATCTCTCCCATCTTCTATTTGGTTATTCTATGCCCCGATCATCATGGTGTCTTAGGCCCAGATCCTCAAAGATATTTGGAGTTTGGCCCAGATGCTTAAAGATATTTAGGTACCTGAGTGTCTTCCAGAATTAGGATTTTAAACAAGCAGATGTATTCTGGACTTGAGATGCTCATAATCAAATGCAATATCTTGAGCTGCTATCCCCAGGTGAACACACCAGTTTGCAGAGGCCTCCTTTTTCTATTATTTTCTATTTGTAAACCAACTTGAACTTTAGTGCTGGTGAAGGCATTGTATAAGTTTTATATAGTAAATCTGATATTGGTTAATGGGAACCAATTAATTAAAAAAAAGGCAGCCTTGAAATATTTATTTGAGGAAAAAGCCCACAAAAAATTCCACAGAGTTCGCAAACCAACATAATTTAAAAAATAAGATTTGCCCCACATTTTGGGCCTGGTGTCTTTAAGAAACCTGTATGCTGCCTTCAAGCTGTCTAGCTAGTATTGACTCAACGTAAAGCAATTCCTGCAATTGTGTTTCTAAAGAACTGGTGCAAAGTGATATGAAATTAAAATAAATGGCACCATTAAGTGCTCCCCAGGGTCAATAGCACTGACACTTAATGGTCAAAGATGTACAGGAGGCAGCGCTAGGAGCCTCTGCTCTGTCAGAGCCCTATAGACAGACTTCCAGCAAGATTAATTTGCCAGCAGTCTTCATTGTTCCTTTCCAGTAAATAGGGTTGTGGGGGGACGGAGGGGGGGAAATGGTCTCAAATTGATACATTGTTATTTTCACTGGTGTAAAGCCCGGCATGGCCACAACGTGCAATCACTCCATCTCATTTTCCTCCTGCCCTGAAACCTTGACAAGTTCTAACGTCTCCTGCTAAGCTAGTCATTCCCATAACACACAGTTATTAAAGCATTGTTAGGAAAATGAGGGCTTGAAAAGTGGAATGATTTTGACAAGAAAATCTCATTTCTTTCAGGTTCATTTTGCTTGAATTGGAATTGAATTACTTACATTATCTTTTATTTATTTATATTGCACTATGTAGCTAACAGGTGAGTGACCCAGAAATGTTGATTTTAAAGGGTTGGGAACTTCAGTACTGAACATTTTAGCCTTAAGCCTGGTTAGTGCTGTAATTACTCATATAGGGGAGGGAGGGGGAAACACCAGGGTGATATGGTGCAATTCTCCCTAACCACTCCAACTGGTTAGTCTAATCGCTACAGCTAGCTCCAAAGAGTGAATCACAAAGTTTAAAAAATGTTCAAAATATATATTCAAACAAACAAATTTAGCTAGAAAGTTGCTGCCTTAATAGCCTGGTGCAGTGTAGGACAGGACTGAGATGGCAGCTGCTATATGAATGCATCGAAAAACAGAAGTTATTACTTTTTCAACATTTTCAGCTAACTTAATTTGTTTTAACTAACAAGCTTAATTTATTTTACAGCAGCTCTGAAAAAAATCCTAGCTCTCCCTGTGCGTTCAAAGGGGTTCCCCATTCTTGGAGTCCAATCTCGCTGGAGCTCCTGCATGGGAAACATCAGTGCAATGACAACTTCTACTGAGAGTCCTGCTACAGCCATGAAGATAGACGAGCAGTAGTAAGTCTTTCTAAAGACTTCGGAAATTCTGTTTTTATAAAGCGAGTGGGGCGAATCCTGAGAGCGCACCTGCAACTCCCAGTAACTTCACCAGGAATAGCAGGGGCTCAGAATCTCCCAGGAATGGTCTTACTCAGAGGGCTCAGTCCTGCAAACACTTGCACATGGGAGTAACTTTACTCATGTAAGCATCCCCATTGAGTCCAATGAGACCCTTAATGATGCTCAGTAGAAGTGTCTACAGATTCAGGCCTGTAGGTGCGACAAGGAACCTCAACAGTTTTAGTCTAAGACTGGGTCTTGCTCCTGAGGTGCTTTGTGGTGGATCTCATTACTACATGTTCTTTAGTCGAAGATTTTAGGCCTTGTCTATGCTAGGGGTGCTGTAGTGGCATATCTATGCTGCCATAGCTAGGCCATTGTAACCTCCTGGTGCAGAGACAGACTACAGTGACAGAAAGGGGGTTTCCATTGCTAAAGGGATGCCACCTCCCTGAGCAACGGTAACTAGGTTGGTGGAAGAATGCTCTGTTGACCTAGCTGTGCCTACCCCAGGGGTTAGGTCGGCATAGCAATGTAGCTCTTGGGTATGGATTTTTCACACCCCTGAGCACTGTAGCTATGTTGACCTAAGTTTTAAGTGAAGACCGGGCCTGAATAGTAAATGTGTTACACATCTACACTGCTACCCTTTTAGGAGTATCCACAGTGCAGCCCTTTCTTTCCCAACTAAGGTGACCAGATGTCCCAATTTTAGAAGGACAGGCCCTATATTTGAGGCTTTGTCTTATATAGGCATCTATTATCCCTCACCCTGTTTCGATTTCACACTTGCTAGCTGGTCACCCTATTACCCGTACAGCCCACCAAACACCATTCTGAACCAGATCAGGCTGATAATCAGATCTTGTATTTCTCTAGCAACTTGCATCTCAAAGTATTGCACCACTTTCTGCAGCACCCTAGGTTTTCCTTGGGAATCTTCCACCCACCTTCTGACCAAAGCCAGTGCTGCTTTGCTTTTGTGTTCTGATGGGACCGCAGCTCAAGATGGCAGGGACTATTAGAAACACTACTTACTGAGCTATTTGTCAGGCTGTTAAATGCCTGCCTGCAGTACGACCTTAGATATTCAGTTTCTTTGTACTGATTATTTTTGACTAATCAGCCCTTCTCACTACTTCTCCCCTTGGCCTCCCTCAAAATTTTTTCCCTTAGGGGTCTCTGTACTGGAGTGGCATGCACCAATGGGGAAAAACAGAGATGACAAGTGGAAATTTTACTGGTACCATTACATCAGAGCAGGCCTTCAATTAGCAGCTCTGAAGGGAAGAAAATCAATTCTGCTTGTATCTGTTACAGACACACGAGAGGGATGCTAAACAGATGGAGACCGTTCTTCATTAAAGGGAAAGGTGTTTTCTCTAACCTTGTAAAGGTTTCTAATCGAACACTCTCCTTCATTTTATGAGCTGTTCAGCAGAGTGAGGGCATCCAAAAACATCTGAAAGCAGGAGAGGAGCATGAAGGAAGCAAGATCTTTTTTAGTTGCCTGTAACGTGCTGCTTAATTTTAGTCTGTTAGTCTTGTTCCTGAGAAGGAGAGCTAATTTTTATTAATTGCTCTGCTTTGGCTTATGTTAGATTTCATTGGGGATTTGGCTAGGATCCCACGTGTCTTGCAGAAAGTGCCATGTGATCTTTACCAAGGGGGTCGGGCCTTGGTTTTACCTCTGATCTGAAAGATGGCACCTCAAGCTGCACAATGCTGCTGCTTATCCTGGTTTCTCCAGAGCAGCCCTGATTTTTAGAATGGCTTTGACCTGTCCAGTCTTGAAGGAGCTGCCCTTCATTTCACTGCAGTGGAAACATGGCATTGTAGTAAGTCTTGCAGAGCAGATTTGGTTCTCCCTGCTCCCGTGCCTCTTCTCCAGGATCACAAGAGGTTTCCAAAGCACTTTTCCCTCTCATCCAATTTCTTTTTCAAACGGCAAAAGTTGAACCATGCCACCAAACCACTTACTCCATTTAAAGGTGGTAGTATTTTGTCTGCTCAGCTGGATGGGTCTGTGGGAATAGCCAGTTTCCAGACCATCAAGGCTTCTTCCATTTGGATAAGAGGCCACTCAGGAATTCCCCCAGAGAGTATGGGAAATGTCTAAGATACCATTAGGGTTTAGTTATTAAGAGGAAGATACTTGCAGCAAAGACTCCTGGGAGCTGGCTGTTGAGAAATGAGCCATTGTACTGTCTGCCTGCATGATGCGGTCCTGTCAGAAAATCATTGTTAAGAAAACAGCAAGTGTTGAAGTGACTCAAATGCCTATATTCCAGTCCCAGGTTTCTGTGCTGTCTCTCCCCAGGGCTGCAAGACCTACATGGTTTCTGTTTCATGACATTCCCTCCCTCCTTGTCTACTGCTCAGGGTACTATGTGTTAGGCATTCATGAGCCTCGCTTCCCTAAACGCTCTGTGCTGGTTGGTCTCGCAGGGTTTGAGGTAAGCATAAGAGGCACAGAGAGACATATAAATGTACTAGGGAGATGAGTAAAGCGATACAAATAGAGCTGGTCAGGAATTTTTTCAATGAAACAATTTTTGATCAGAAATGCCAATTAGTCAAAACCAACAGGTCACCAATTAGGATTGATTTCCACAAATCTCCCAACTTGAAAACACGCTGAATTAAAAAACAAACAAAAAAACCCCACACAAAACAACTAAATATTTCTTTGACATTTTCAGAGTGAAAAATTCTGATTTTCCAATTTGAAATGACTTTTTGCTAAGCTTTAAAATCTAAGACTAAATAAAAGGCTTTTTTAAAAAACAGGCAAAATTGAAACAAACATTTTGATTGATCCAAACTGAATGTTTAACATTTTTTTTCCAGTTCATGGAAACTTCAAGACTGAAGTGAAGACACTCCCAATGTAAGGGGGTGGAGGAAGAAAATGTCAAACTCTCAAAACTCTGATGGACAGGAAAACTGTTTTCTGCCCAACTCTAGAAATGAAAGCCCAATAGGAGGAGTGAGTAAAAGAGTGCCTAAGTGATATAAGATCTTAAGACAACTTTGCTATCATTTGTATGGAGATCATCAGACCCAAGTACATTTGCTATAGGAGATAATGGTCACAAAAATATATAACATGGCAGCTGTCATAGGGTTCACACAATGCTAGTGGCCACCTCCTGCTAGCCATCCTGGGGATTAGCTCTAGTCAGGTATTGCACCCTCCCCTGGTGGTGTTTCTCCTGTCCTGTCTCACCTTGCAGCCCTTCTTGCTTCAGCAACTGAAGCCTCCTCTTCTTGACTCAGCCCTCCAGCCAGATCACCATACATGTTCCCCTCCTTTCTGGGGTATAGTCATTCAAAGTCTCTGTCACTCCCACAGTGATCCAGGTAGTCTTCCAATTCACTGCCCTGCTGGTGCCACTTCCCCAGTAGCTAGTAGGGGAACCCAGGCCTGCCCTCTACTCCAGAATCCTGTACAGGGGTCCTCTGGTTAGCCACTAAGGCCTGTACTGCTATTACTTGCTGCCATTCCCCTAAGCCTTCTCCTACCTTCCTGGTTTCCCCCCCCCTCTTTGGGTTTATCAGCCTCCCAGCTCTCTCCTCCCAGGGAGTGACTCCAGCCTGTTTTCCTGAGCCCCATTCTGTTACCAGCTTCCTGGTTTATATAGGCCATGCCTGTCCCTGTCCAGCTGATCCTCATGTTTAATTAATCAATTCTTGCTCCCTGGCTCCTCCTCCAGGTGCAGCCCAGGTAGTTAATTGGGCCTATTTACCCTCTCAGGGCCAGTGTGGGGATTACATCCCATCACAGCCCCTAATTCAAATGCATCTTGGATACATTAATGAATTTATCCTCACAACCCCCGTGAGATGGGTAATTATCATTATTCCCGTTTTACACATTGGGATCTAGAGCAATTGAGTGGTTTATCTGAGGTCACACTGGAAATCGCTCACAGAATAGGGAACTGAGCCCAGATTACTTGAGTATCAAGCCAATGATTTAAAGACTACATCATCCTTCCTCCCTATTTTTGCTCTCACACTGACATAAAGGAGAAGTAACTCCACTGAAATCAGTGGAGACATTGGTGTAAAATGGGTGTAATCTATAGGAGGCCCTAAGTCCTTTAAGTCAGACATAAAACTGAGGGTCTGACTTGTGGCCATTGAAGACTCATACTTTCTCCTCCTATAAAAGAAAGGGTGCTAGCTCTGGAAACTTTCCCTCCCCCAAAGTAGATGTGTGTTAGCCCAGTGTTCAGGTAAAATTCCAACCTGAGCAATTTAATTCTGTCTCTAAACTCCACATGCAGGTTCAGCTTGGCATAAAATTCTTCAATTCCAGTCCTAAAAAACTCTACAGCAATGCTGTGCTCTGTTAAATAGCTGCTGTGTCCAGCCCTGAGGTGGCTGCTCTTGAGTGAATTTATTCTTGTATATGGAATAGTTTATAAAGAACTTTGGGCTCCTTCAAGATAAAAAAAAACCACACTACAGAAAAGTAAGATATTTGTTACTGATACAAGGGATCTCTTGTGTAAAGAACAGCCATCCTCCCCCAGAGAAATTTGGAAACTGTCCTCCCACCAAAATGACCTTTTTATTTTTTCTTGGTTTATTTTTGATGACTCGGTAGAACAGTCCTGAAAGGATTGAGAGACCATTTGTAAGATGTGAATGCTTTGGTGAGGGCATTTTTACATTGCCCAGTACAAACAACATTTCCAAAAGCCCAGACATAGATCCCTCCCTGGTGTATCAACAAGAGGAAGTGGCCCCAGATTACTTCTCATGGACCTTAGAGCTACAGAAGGGATGTGAAACAGACACAGTAAATCCATACACCTTCAGTGGGTAGCTTCTCTGTCTTCTTTTTTGACACCCTTTCACTTCATTTTCACTCCAGCCTATCCTGCTTCTCTTCTACTGATTGCCTTCCCATAGAGTAGTTTTGTTTTGCTGATGGTGGTTTGCTGATGGTCCATCAATTCCAGAACTAAACAGGTGGCAAATCCTATTGAAGGAACAAATCACAGAAGGAAAAGGACCATTAGATGCTCCAGGCCATCTCCCTGAGAGCATGAGAGGACTGACAATCATCCAATCTCATCCTGGTGTAACTCCACAGACTTCAATAGAGTTATGTCTGAGAGAGGATTTTGGCCTAACATATCTGCTGCTATTCTCTGGGTGTGAAGTGAGCATGAATCCTTTGCCCGATCTAATAGTAGGTCACAGTTCAACTTTGAGGAGGGGTGGGGAGGTTTTTGTCACCAAGGATGGAACGTTTGCCTCTTATTCTCTGCAGGCACCAGCCAGGAGGATTTAAAATGTAAAATGACATTTCAATGTTTAAGAATAGCAAGTAATTTGGTGGCTCTAATAGAAATGCTTCCAGTCCTTTAGCAATGTGTTCCAGACCTTCATAACACTGCCTATAAAATTGCCTTTGGATTCCCTGCCTAATATTCCAGCCTTTCTCTCATTCAGCAAAACACAATAGCTTGCTCTAAGCCTCCCTGGGAGGATGGCTAACAGCACATTTACTAGACACTTCAAACATTTGATCATATTTCTCCTGAGTATATTTAATATCTGTTAATGCCAGCAGCCCGGCCTGATCGAAAAGCCCGCATTGCTGGGAAAATTGTTTAATATAAAAGACGACGCAGGTAAGCAATCACTTACTGCTGTCTTTTTTGGAAATGGATAGGTGATCACCGATGCCCCCCCTTCCTCTTCCACCAACTGCTCCCCCTCCCAAGCCCTATCCATTACCAGTCTTGCTGCTGTGTGCTCCTCTGGATGCATTAGAGCCGTTATTCTAAGTACATAAGAGATGCCAGGAACAGTTTCGGGTTTCCTGCCTCATCAAACTAAACCTGATCTGTAAAAAATTAATACACCCAAAAGGAACAGTTAAAAGCATCTCCAATCAATTAATGCTGAACCAGAGGCAAGAAGGGTCGATTTGTTAAAGGAAACCCAGCCCAGCTCAGGCTGAACAGAACTCAGGAGGCTGCAGGTGGAGTTTTGGCCAATGAGACAAGCCCAAATGCTTTGAAGGTGGGTGTGATGCTGGCAGACCCCGGGTGCCAGCTCATGGCCAGGCTTTAGGCCTAAGCTCACCACTGACAAATTCATTGCTGGAAACTAGTCTGTTTCACCTGTGTGTTGGGATGGTGAAGATGGGTATTAAACTTATAACAATGTGTTTATCGGTTAGATGTTATCGGATGCTTGTAAGTTGTTCCAGGCGTTAAGCTCACTTATAACATCTTTATCACATGCCATAAGGTAATATTTAGGTTTTTGCTTTGTAAATGTTTGGTCTGAAACTGTGAACTCAATCAGGAGCATTCATCTCTTGCTTATCAAGAAGAAGACCTATAAAAAGGCCTATGGAAACTAAATGGGCCATTGTGGGACATAACAATACAAAGACTTTATCAATTGTCCTTTCACACCGAGGGCTCGTCCTATCAGCTTGATTTCTGGAAGAAGGAAATAAAAATAGCTGACAAGAAAATTTTTCATCTCTCTCTTACTCTTTGGACTCTCACAGGGTCAGAGGTATGAAACAGAAGCTGAGATCCCCAGAGTCAACTTGGGTAAGCCCTAAAAGATATTCAGAGCTGACAGATTACTATAACTCTGTCACCCTTTAAAACCGTAGCCTGTAACTCATTTGTGTATATATGTTTGCCTGCTTTAACCTTCTCTCACTTCTTTTTCCTAGTTAATAAATCTTCAGTTATTACTTTGGTGAGAGATCTAAGGTACAAACTGACCTGGGGTAAGTGACTGGTCTCTTGGGACTAAAAGCAACCTGAATATTTTGTGATCTTTGGTGTACAGCAACCAACTATCACTAAGTGGGGGGGGAGGGATAGCTCAGTGGTTTGAGCATTGGCCTGCTAAACCCAGGGTTGTGAGTTCAGCCCTTGAGGGGGCCACTTGGGGATCTGGGGCAAAATCAGTACTTGGTCCTGCTAGTGAAGGCAGGGGGCTGGACTCAATGACCTTTCAAGGTCCCTTCCAGTTCTAGGAG